AGTAAATACCCCGTTTTATATCAAAAGTCAAACTGCGACAATTTAGATGACGCGGAGGAAGTACTTGAATGAGACTCAAATAGACTGAATTTTCCACAACTGCAGAAGCGCCACCACCCCCAAGGATCCAGGTTCTGATGCAGCTCCTAAGCGTTGGGAGGTGAGTAGATCAAACTGGCTCTCCAGTCTCCACCAAGTGGTCAAAGAGAGAAAACGCAATCCGTTGCATCCAAGTTTTCCTCGTGCCAGCCCATGACACAAGTTCCCTATTTATTTACTATGTGACTGTGGACTGCAACGCAGCTGGACCACTCCTTCCACGCCGCTTCCAAGGGGGACTTGAAACTACCCAAAAGGGATTCATTTCATGTGCCGTTTGTATCTAACATCGCTTTAGGAGCTGCAACTGCGTCTTTGATATTTGGCGTGTGCTAGCGTTCCTACGTATGCTGAAAACTCAGTCTGAGTCTCAAGCAGACCCTGAAAAGAAATTTGTATCTAAATGCATGTACAATCATTATTATTTGGTCGAGAGTTTTGAAGCGCTTCTTCTAGTAGTAGGATGTTGAATGTGCTTGTTTTGTACCCCTAGACATTTTGACATTTTGATTGCACTGATTGCATTTTGATTGCACTGATCAATAATCTCAAAATCTAAAATTATCATAATACTTGGAGCTTACAGCGCTTTGCAACGAAACTCATGATAATTATGTAGATATTCTACGAAACTGCTATTGTCTAAGCCATAAACAGCACAAAGTGGCACATACCGAAGATCAATCACGCAAAATGTCCCTTGGCCATTCAACTCTTAGTCTCTAGAGCCGTCCAGTGCTCGCGCAACACGACCCCGTCATTCTGCTTTCCGTCTGAGAACAGTAACTGTTGTATTTCTCGCCGGCCGAGCGCAGCGAGATAGGCGAGAAATGATTTATCGCGCAACATTTTCGGTTGCAAATGGCATCTGGCGTGTTCTTTAGGTTGCGCTCACACGACGCGCAAAGGAAAGTGACCACGTCCATGGTGTGATTGGGTTGCGTGTTTGTGTCCCAAGTGCAGTGACCAGTAACGGACTGCGCCTGCCTTTTACTAAGTTATAGCATACCCATTGCAACAAGGTCGATAATCATCTCCTAGTAGGTCTACCCGGGTTTCGTCATAATTTATTGTGTGGTGACACACTCAGGCAACTGGTAATGGACCAGGGTGGCAACACACACACACACACACACACACACACACACACACACACACACACACACACACACACACACACACACACACACACACACACACACACACACACACACACACACCTGTCCTGTCCTGTCCTGTCCTGTCCTGTCCTGTTGAGCCACTGCCATGAAGGTTACGTGGGCCCCGGAGGGGCAGCTGAGAGAGAGGAGGAGCACATGTCACACAGCCCTGTGACGATCCAGGTGATGAGGTAAGCGAAATCGGCGGGACCAGGCGCAAACACATGTGAAACCCTGACGGTCCTGAACGGTCGGACGACTACAAGTCCGTGAGCAGCGATGACGGGCGCGGCCAAGTGTAGACGCAAAGCAGCGGTCACAAGCCTGGCAGTGAGCGACGCAGCACAGCGGAGAAGCAGGCAGCGGCAGGGGCGCACCGACTGCTGACTGGGGGTAAGTACACTTGTGCCTTGCCAGACCTCCAAGGGACTTCAGCCAAAGGCCACACTCTCCACACTGGCATGCACCTTTCTGCTCCGCAACCGGCTTCGCACGCTCAACCTTACACTTGTGGCGTGCGCGATCACTGGGGTGTGCAAACTGTCGGTTGCAGGTGTACCAGGTGACGGGACACACACACACACACACACACACACACACACACACACCACCACCACCACCACCACCACCACCACCACCACCAGCACCACCACCACCACACACCCATACACACACACATACACACACACACACACACACACACACACACACACACACACACACACACACACACACACACACACACACACACACTTGAACTTGTACATCACTGCCAAAACTGGTCACGTGGGTCTCCCCGGGAGAGGGGAGGGAGATTCAAGAGGCATCTTGGAAAGTTGATTCAATTGGCTATTGAACCACCCAGCGTCGACACCCCCTGAAATCTCCAAACTCTGGGTGGACTTGGAAATGATCCCACTTATGGGCTCACCACACCTAAGTAATTGGGTGGGAACAAGGTGCAGAAAAAGGATTGACGAGATCCGTCCCGGGATCCAACTGCAGGTACCCCTGTCCCCGGTGAAGGTAATACTTGCTACTAGTGTGGGTGGGTAATCAGAGAGGATTTGATATTAGCTTCACTAGCACCATTGATTACACAATAGTAAATCTAGCCAGAAGCAGTCCATGGTTAACAGGTATGTAGCTATGTACATGTATACTTCAAATAGAAAGCATACGAACCCTGGAACCAACAAAGGTGCCAGGTACAACATTACATCTTCAAACAGCCGAGCTAGTTGGCAACAGGCCCAACATTATCTGGCATAAGTGTGCCCACCAACCGAACCAGCTGGCACACACCTCAGACCTCAGACATGCCCATCGCGGAAGCGATGATAACGAACAGCTATGTTAGACATAGCAACTTGTGCTGGGATTGCACCATTCAACAGCTTGCAAGGCTGATGAATTGACCGCCACTATTTTTAGCCTGATATCCAGTACTATCCACCACACAGCTGCACACACACACACATATGCCCACACACATAGCAAGTATTGTCACCGCAGCACAGAGAAAAATACAAGTACATGTACGTTGAAATAATATCACGAGATGCAGGGATCACACACATGTCACAGCTGCGCTATCTACCTTTGCTATTTCATTGGCGACGATGATGCATATTGAAAAAGCGTAATTGTAAACACCACGTGCCGCTGACTATTCACCTTCAGGGCTCTCATATCACACCGAACAGTACCCACTACTTGACAACTTGGCAGCTCTCAGCCGTCTTTGACAAGTGTAGATGGTAAAGATCCGTCCACAACTATGTGCTGGAGGGATCATACCAAATAGCCTGAAAACAACTTGTCAGGTCGCAGCCGTCAATGGCATCCTACAGGTACAGAACGTGCAGTTATGTGACACCTGGGGACTATTAATCCGTTAGAGTAGTTGCAACAGTTTCTCTGAAGCCATTATGTTGGCAAAAGTCGTTCTACTGACCACCTGCACTGGCCGAGTCAGATTTTAATACTTGTCTGTAGTCTTCACAGGGATATACAAGTAACGGACACAATCATCCCCCCATTCTCCTCCCACACCAGTTACGGTATCTGGAACGTCTCAAACTAAATGCTTACAGCATTATTTGACTGCCCGACCTGTATGGCCGCTGAACACGTGTCCCATGTGTCTCAAGTACATGATTTTACATGTACCTCTAGGGGACGCATAATGCATTATGATGTTTACCCCTCTATGGAATACTCTGCCAGCACATGCCAGAATGAGTCACGAGTGATTGCGCTAAATAGTCTGAAGACAATTTGTCAGCTCGCAGCCGTCGATGGCATCCTACACGTTACTAGTAAGAACGTGCAGACATCTGGACACAATAATTCCGTTGGATTATTTGCACAAATTGTTTTAAAGACATCCTGTTAGAAAACGTCGATCTATGGACCACCACTACAACCCGAACTGGCGCAGTTAGATTTGAGTACTTGTCTGTCATCTTCACCTGGATAGAACAGACATAAACATCCCCCTTTCTCCTTCCAAACCAGTTATTTGGAACGTCTCTAACGAAATGGTTACAGCACTATTTGACTGTCTAGCCTGCATCAACAGTTTCAGCGTCCACTGAAAACTTGTCCATGAGCCTCATGTACAATTGCCTCTAGGGGACGCACCATGCATTTTATGTAAAACCTCTATGGAATTCTCTGCCCGCAGATGTCAGAATGAGTGATGGTGCTAAATCGTCTGAAGACAACTAATTACTTGTCAGCTCGTAGCGTCATTGGCATCCTACTTCGAAGCACAAGCAAAGAACTTGCATTTCTCGGACATCCGGACACCATCATTCCATTAGAGTGGTTGCACATACTGTTCGGAAGACATCCTGTTAGAAAACGTCGATCCGTAGTACGGACCACCACCACAATCCGAACTGGCGCAGTCAGATTTGACTACTTGTCTGTCGTCTTCAACGAGATATAACAGACTTCAACATTCTCCTTCCTCCTCCCAAACCAAAATTTAATAATAATTATTATCTTGAACGTCTCCAACTACATGTAAATGCGGTCAAGAAACGATGTAGAAATGAGATATGGTGCATCAAGAGATGCGTGTAAGGCAAAACCAACTGCGAACTTGAACCAGCTAGTTGCGGGTGTCCAGTGTGATGCATACAGCAGTATGAGCGGTATTTCTACAATTTTCCAGTACATGGTATTTGCAAGACAAATGAAGGGGTTTATGCCAATGTTTGAGGCAGCGGGTGTGATCGAACTGATGAGTGCGGTTTGCTGCAGATTTTAATGGGAACTGATGGGGTGTGAGTCTGACCCTTATGTCTGCTGGGCGTGAGTTGACGTTGCTAAGAGCCGAGTTGATTTTGGGAATTTTTATGTTGATTTGTTCTAGGTGTTCGCACTTCGCAGTGTGTAGGTGCGGGTGTGTCATAATGTGTGGGGGTGTTCCGTGCTAGTTTTAATACCACATGGGATAACCAGCATTGATATCACTGTGCATCTACCCACCATCGTTGGTATTTTGGAGAAAGAACATGGGAGAGCGATGAAGAGGTGACGGCATGTACGTTCAAGGGTACAATAGCAAACATGAGGATAGTGGACTTGGTTACTAGTACCTTCCCATCGTCATCAATCATAACATTGGGCATAACATTGGGCATGATTGCCCGTTTGACTTGCGATGTAAAATGAAAACAATACAAAAAAGTGAGGAAAGCACTAACACTTGACTGTACATGTACTCACGTCCACGGAAATAGCCATATGCAGGTGAACCGGTTGGTTGAAGCCGACGGCTGGATCGCTGAATGATGAGACTACGATAGTTTCTTCATCATCGGAAGGGATGCATTCATGGACGACTGTTGATCCGTTTCCAGACAGCACCACGAAATCCTTCCCGTAGGTAACGGACTGGCTTGAGCTTTTGAAGGCATTCCACATGCCATTCAGCTGGTTGCTGCCTGAGAGTGCTGGAGCGGCGGCTGAGATCAGCAGAATTGATAATGCCAACAGAGATCTGCATGCCATCATGTTTGATAGCATGCAGTCTTAGGGCCAAAACTGCTGTTCCACTACGAATGACTTACTTCCTCCGTGTACAAAAACTTCGTGACTTTTTTTGAACGGTGTTTTCGAGCAAGAACCTGCTCAACGAACGGTGCCAAAGGCTGTCATCGACAACTCACGTCCATGTCGAGGTTAGTTTGGTTGATCCCGAACAGATTCTCCACGGACGCCATGCGTGTGAGCACGTTGCCGACAGAAACTCAAGAGTCAAATGCAATAAAAACTAACACTTACTTGCTCGAAACTGACACAGTGACGAAGTGTAGCCCGTGGCTGGAACACGGAGTCGAGTCACTCGGCACTCGCTGCTCTGCAAGTGGCCAGGCTCGTACTTGCGGTGCGCGGCCCCATAGGCAGCGTGAGAACATAGATTTGTTTTAGTCCATCGGCCAAATCTCAGAAAGGGCCTCTTTCGGCGAAGGTGATGCACTGAAGCTCCAACTAAACGCCCTTTGGCACACTAGCTTATGAGACCCCATAGAATACGAATCCGATTGTTGGACGTTGCCAATCCAGTCCAGGATAGTCGAACTGGGTCGAATACCTTCTTCCGATTTTCGTAATTTCGTCCACCATTACATCTTTCTCATCGACTTTTTTTCGCTTGGCGAATGTTCTTGAGCCGCTGAGCAGAATCTACGCACGCTCGAACACTTGAAATGCCTGCATGTTGACGGTTCGCAAGATTCTAGCGAGCTTGGTGGAAATCTATTATTTATTTTGACATTTTTGGGGGAATCTGAATTAGAACGGTAGAAGCTCATTCGGAGAAGACGGCGTGTCGCCGCTGTCGGATTGTCGCTACTGTGTTTCAGACGTATTTGCTTGAACGTGCTATTGAGGATGGACAGAAGATGAAGTGACGGCTTTCTTGAACACGGACGTTGTGTCTACATTGTAGCTGAAACATCTCATCTGGCGTCTAGAACGCAATTATTATGAGTTGTGAGTGCCAGCTGAGCTGAACACAAGCTGGACACCATTCGTCAGCTGGGAATTTGCATCGAAGCTCTTGATAGCCACGATAAGTATAATTATACAGAGGTAACCTTGTTTGACTCAATACGCATGCAGGTGATACCACTAGTGGCACTACAATGTAAATGGTGCAAAATTGATGCAACAGCGAATGTGTACTTCGTACAATCACGAACAATTGTAAGGCAAGTGTTCATGCCTGTCATAGAAGAATTTCAGCCCGGAAGTATTGTTGTCATGGTCATAAATAATACAGGACTTGAGTTGGCTCTGGACATAAACACACTTGTGGTGAATACGGTCATTATTGCGAGAAAAAAATTTCTATTTAGCCACTGTATGTTAACACCTGATGCTGCACTACACGCAATATTTCATGTACATGTATGTGAGACTCAATTGCATCCACAAGGCCGTAGATGCATGTAAGCACACAATGCTGTACAGTATAAGTAGTAGTCGACATGTGGTGCCTTCCTGCTGCACATGCGGCAAGTTAGCAACGACACATGACCTATCTGCACCGCACAGCGTGAGCTTAGAAAGGAATATTGCACACATAGTGCTATTTGTGTTCCGATATCATTAAGCCGGTATACATGTACTAGTATCCTTATACATGTACCTGGTCACTCCATAGGCAATGCCGACTGTACTAATATTATCCATATTACCCGACAGGCTATAGCACACTGCGTCAGATCACTATGCAACAAAACAAGAGCTTTGCCCGGGGCGAGTATACACTGAAGCAAAGTAGGTTTCAACGGTTCAGCACTAGTCACAATGAGGGGAGTTACGAGGATGGTTAGGCCGTGACACATAGATGATGATTGTTAATGATTCATGCATGGTGGAAAATTACCACCAATGGCGATGATATTGCTTTCACAACAATGACATCAGTAGGAGCAGTGACACAACCTTACTGCTCCAAGTAGGATTTACAAGCGAGTGAAGAGAGAGCAGACTGGTCTAATAGCAGACCGGGTCTAAGCAAGGAAGTAATCGGCATCAGAGGTGAGCTTGCACATCAGAAAACAGATGATGATCACCAAACACAGAGAAGTTGGCTATCTGTATGTTTGTGTCACTGTGTGTGCATGTGTGTGCATGTGTGTATGCGCGCACATCTATCTGTGTGTGAGAGAGAGGCAGACAGACAGATAGCATATGGTGGGAGGGATCAAGGTCTGACCTCAGAGTTAAATGCTGACGGTGTGGAATAGCAACAGTGCGAAATCGGGCAGGGTGGTTAATGGTCCACACTGGAGCCGAGTAGGAGCGCCAGTGGTTGAGGGCTAGCACAGGAGTAGCAGCAGCTCCAGCCTAGGAAGATCAGCTTCTGGATGAAAATCTCCCGGGCACAGTAGGTACCAAGCTTCACTAGCAGATTGCCGGCAGGGGTGCACGGCGAGCACCCGTACATCCCTCAAGCCACCAGAGCCGCAGTACTTGGAGACGATCCAGGTGCTTACCCGCCAACAATGCTGAGAAGGCACTGGAGCCATACAGGAACTTATGATCGAGCATGACCACAGACTTGAAATACAGGGTCCGGCATTGAATACTGAGACAGCGACGTCTCCTCCACAGAACACCACTCAGCCCCACCATTGCATTATTTTCGCTTTTTCATGATTTTTACAATTGTGTTAGAGCACACAGCACTCGATGCAACATTTACCAGTGACTATATAACTCCGCGTCTCCGACCATAACTGCAGCGTTCCCGTGAGCCTGTTGGATTTCCGTCAGCCTGTTGAGAGTATCTTCATCTCGTCACATGTGAGCCTGTGTGTTTCATCCGTATCGTGGCACAATTACACAGACACGATTTCCAACTCAGGCTGGTTCCATTGCTCGAAGGGTTGGCGGTAAGAATTGCTACGCCGTCTGTGGCTGCATGGGAACTTGGCGAGTCGTCGTCTTTATCCATAAATCCTGATCGTCACGCGAACAGCAGCCACTATTGCCTAAAAACTACGACACAACAGTATCAAGCTCGCCCCAGCAGAAGGACACGAATGACGAGCGCTAAGACGGAGAAAGAGAGACAGGGTTAGCGAGAGCTGACTAGTGCAGGTACGCTGTCATCTCCTGAGGTGGTGGGCGAAGCAGCGAAGTGAAACGAAGGAAGATAGAAGGCATACGGAGGCACCAAAACCTATTGCCTGTCACATACTAAGTGCCATTTAGGGTTGACAGCTGTCAGCTGACAGCCTCAAAAATTTGAAAATCTGCTCAAAAAACTCTCGATCAGAACTCTGCGCACTCTCAAATGGAGCGCACAGTAAAAAACTCGGCGACGAAGAACGCTTCGTATCGACGCCCTGGACTGAATTCGGCACGTCCAACAAACGGAATAGTGTTCTCTGATATATTCTCTACGTGCTGGGTATGGTCGCGTTTAGTTGGAAGCTCAGTGCATCACCACTTTCGATTTTGAGACTTGGCCGATGGACTATTTCGCTCGCACGGCAAGATGAAACATTCAGTCGTCGTGCAACCAGCGCAGACTCAGGATCAGAATATCGATGGCCTGGCTTTCTTCGCCTCTCTCCAGTCAGACGTCTCTTTTGTCGCCAAGGGGAATCGTAGGGACCTCCTCGAAGCCATTGTAGAATGCTCGGGAGGATTATCCTGGCGAGAATATGCGAAGCGTGTGGATGTGCTTGTACGACTCGTTTCACGGCATAATGGAGGTCGCGGGTTGGAACGACTGAATATAGTCGACACCGATTCGTACACAGATCTAGAGATGAAGAGGACGTAGCCAAAGTCCAGCATCGGATCATCACTAAAGGTGACAAGAATCTGAACGAAATACGAGCGGAAGCAGCGACTTTTGGCGATGCGGAGTCGGCGTCGTCAGGTGACAATGACATGAGCGACGAAGACTCTGAAAAAACTCAATCTCATTCGTCTGAGTTGCTTTTTTCTTTGTATATAGCTTGTAAACATGTTAGACAATGCCACGAGTGTTATTCCGAGTCAAACGGAACAAATCCAGAGCTGTGCGCAGCTTTCAAAAAAAAAGTCACGAAGTTTTTGTATACGGAGGAAGTAGAACAAAACCAAAACCCAAGCTCTGCAAGTAAATCTGTCCCTGCGGGAATTTGCGGACAAAACTCTCGAAAACTTGCGCAAGAAATTGCGGCAGAAAGTAACAAAAAATGCGACGAAAAGTGCGGAATGATGCAGAACTTGCCAGGAATTCGCGGAATTATTAATTTTGCGGAATATTGCGGATTTGGGCCAAATCACGAAATTTGTTGCATCGTATATCTACTCGGGAGTCGTACTGTGCAAATAACCTACAGGATCATGGAAAGAACTGCGTGAAAAGTGCATAAAAATGTGAGATATAGTGCAGAGAACAACAAAAAACGCGGGAAATCGCGGATTTTGCTGAAAATCGCGGGTTTGGGCCAAAATCGCGAAATTTGTTGCATCCTTGGAATCGCGATTTCCTGGAGGGACAGGTAAATGACTGGGGGAAGTGTTCCTCTAAAGCAGACCAAAGGTTATGATCATGGTGGCATGGTGCAATCTCAGATATAGACGCGAAAATGCTGCCCCATACGGGCCATGGAATCATCGTTGCCCATATTCATAATGTCCGTGTGCATAACAATCATAATGGATAATGTACAGACTGCTTTATTATTATTATTATTTTGCTTGTTCGCGTTGGCATCAACCTGCATAAAGCAGGTATATAGCCTTCGCTTAAGCTGCCATAAAAAAGAAAGCTCATCCTAAGCGAGAGGGCTAGAGGGAAATATAACGATAACGAGATACAGAATACAAAGAAATCCAATGAGTTCAACGTACAATTCAAAACAAGAAACTGCTTTAGCACCTGCGAATAGACCAATCCCGAAAAGATTGTCTGGGTTCGAAAGGGGGCATGTCAACTGAGAGTACACTGTACAACACATACATGGCACTACCTGATCAGCATGCGGCACAGGACGTGTTTGATAGTTCGCGTGTGAATGCGAGGGTAAGTACACGGTTTTCTCCTTAGTTGCATGCACGAGAGACGATGCGACAGAAAGCAAAGCCCTTTGTAGTTTTCTCTCTCGCACTGGTAATGGTCTGCTGTTGGAGTTGAAATGCTAAGACATAATCCTTGTTTCGCTCTTCTGTGTAGTGTGAAGAGGTCAACGAATGTGGCCTTGTCATGAGCAGCCCTCAGACAGGGCATGCCCTTCCCGAAAGTGTCAGCGCGATACGGGGTCTAGCAATAAACTAGGGTCCCCAGGGGGGGGGGGGGGGTGGGTGGTGAAGATGCAACGCGGAGGATGCACCTGACTTTGACAGCTGAGATCCGCTTGGCTTCATGATCCCTTCATTTGCACGCGACTGGGCAAGACCATCCGACAAACGGTCTTGGTTGCGCTCACCTTGCCCTCCTTATGTTACATGTGTGTCTATAACTTAGAACCTTCCAAGCTGGGAGGCTGTTGGAGTGAGCATCCAAGACGTGCTAGAGCTGATTGCCAGTTACGTGTAAAACGTCATTGCCATGGGCAGTAGTAGTCGTAGTATTTTATTTATAGTGGAGAAATGATTACCCGGACAACGAAATAAGCCGCGCCATCAAGAATGCTGCTCGCTTCGCAAATGCAACACCCCGCCAGTGGAAGAAACCGGACCAAGTCATCCTGAAGCTGCCGTTTATCAACGAAGCACTGTCCGCTCGGGTTTCTCGACGCGTGCGCCGGTTCAGTCCTGATGTTCGTATTGTGTTCACATCTGGTCCATCACTGAAGAGGAAACTTGTTCGGTCATCATTGTCTGCCCGTGTATGTCCCCGTGAGGTGCAGAGAGCAAAGGTGAAGCGTGGTCGTGGTGCACCGATGGTGTGTAGAGCATGTGATACGGGTATGTCTGATCGTGAATGTGTGGCGAAACATGTTGTCTACAGTATGATGTGCACGCTTTGTCAAGAGCTGTACGTCGGGGAAACCGAGCGGCCAGTGCGGGAGCGGTTTCAGGAGCACCACCGGGAAGCGCGGACGATGGTGGAGAAAGCTCCCTGGGGCAACCACTACAAAACCCACCACCGAGAATCTCACACATCATCTTCACAATTTCAGCCCTTCCGCCAGGCGAAGATTCTCGGCAGGGAGCCTTCTCTTCCATCACGCAAGTACCTTGAGGCAACAGAGATCAGAAATCGACGACCAAAGGTGAAGGGTGACAAAGGTTGGCGCCTTTTGGCATGAATCAAACTTCCCAGCACATGGCTGATCTACAGACTGGGTATTCCACACCTTGCTGTTATCACAACGAATGCGGGATCTCAGATTCGACATCTCGAATGGATAGCCACACCTGACTTGAGAGCTTGAGAAGATAAACACACTCCATACTTGACTCTTAACCCCCCTCCCCTCCCCTCTCACCACACAAACACACACATACACACACACATCAACTCAGCCATGGCTGTTTCACGCCCACTTTGCACTTGATGAAATGCTCACTTACATTGTTATGTCTTAGTGCTAGCTTATAACGTGTTTCAGATTACATGTAGTAGTGTTAATTATGTGACTGTTCCTGTACTGTCTTATAAAAGCCAACTTTGTGTCATTCTTCTCCTATAATCCCCGATGATGCCCTCCTGGGTGAAAATTTGGACAATTTCATATGTACGTGGTGTAGCCAAGGACTGGTAGTGTGTTGCGAGTTGGGTATACTGAAAATATAGTGGAGAAACCAAAACAGCTAGGCAGATGCCTAATATCAATGGACCCACTGTGTAGGGTGGCGGATGAGGGGGGGGGGCATGGCTAATGGTAAATAGTGGCGGCGAAATAGAGCAGTTCCAGCACAGTAACAGAAACATGGACGTAAAGCTAAAAGCAAGCAAGAATGTGTTGCAAAGCCAGTGTCGTCCAATGCTATCGCATGAGCTGATTGAAAAGTAACTGATTGAAAAGTAACTGGTGGTGTTAGTGGATATTTATTACAGCGTAACTTGTACTTGTAGCTCTTTGGTCCTCTTTTCATTGTACTCAACAAATTAATCCTTGGAGTTTATTTATATTAATTTTGTGTCCTCTTGGACCTTTCCGAACCGGAGCCTTCCAAGTTGGAAGGTTGTTGGTTTGCGCCTTGGAGAAGTGTTGGAGCTGGGTGTCAGGTCGCCGAATGTCTCAGTACTCCTTGTCAGTTTTGCGCCATTTTGTCGCACTCGCTGACTGTATAAGATCTTGTTACGTTGGTGGACAGTTAGTCATAACTCGTGACATTTTGTCTTTCTTCTTTTCACAATAATTTAATTGGTTCACCATCCGAGTTTTATTTTGTATAACAGTAACCAGCAACAGTTCTTATATCTTGATAGTAAGTCGGGCTTATTTAAATCGTTGCATAGCCAGAATTGTCCGCCAAATTTACAACGAATCTGAACCGATAAGCTGCGGCTCCAGTAAGAAGGCAAGACTCTACTGTATATGGGCATACATGTAGCCTTAGGCAAGTACATGTACATGTATGTGATAAATATTAAAATAATACCAAGAGTAGATAAACAAGAGTGTGCAACTCCGGATCTCTCCTGCACAATCTGATACCCCCGCCCACGGCGGAATTTTTTGTTGACGTCACCTTTTTTTCAGAGAAACACGCAGTTTGCCGCAGAGCAGTGTGAGAGCACGTGCTGGGCACCGACCTTGTAGTGTAAAGCCCGGCCAAGAGCACGAGGGAAAACTTTCCGAAAGACTCGCAGCGCGTGCGTCGTCGAAAAGATTACGTCAACAAAAAATTCCGCCGTGGGCCAACCCATCCGCGAGTTGCACACTCTTGTTTATCTACTCTTGATAATACTGATAGAGAATTGTTGTTGAAGTCCAGATTCGTCCTTTGGGTGCAATACTGTTATCGTTGGGCACAGCCATGGCACACACCTACACACCAGCACACACCTACACACCAGCACACACCTACACACCAGCACACACCTACACACCTACACACCAGCACACACCTACACACCAGCACACACCTACACACCAGCACACACCAACACACCAGCACATCCCTACACACCTACACACCTACACACCTACACACCAGCACACACCTACACACCAGCACACACCTACACACCAGCACACACCTACACACCAGCACATGCCTACACGAACGCATACACCCACGCACGCACACACACACACACACACGTGCACACACACGCACGCATTCACCCACGACTACACACACACGCATACACGCACGCATACACAGACGAATGCAAGCATACACCCAAGAGTATTTAAAAGCTGCTACCCCTGGGGGCACAGATCAAACCTGAATAAAAGTAATGTCATGTATTGAAGCCAGGTATCACAACTCGCTCCAAATGTACCGGCCACCACACTCATGGCGGTTTCTTTACAATCAATCTAACGTAAACCATGTTAACACCAATCTTGTCTGTCCTAGCCGTGATGTTGTTCACCTTCATCACCTGCCTGATCTCCTCGTCGGTGATGATACGTTCTTCTTCCGATACTTGTGCATATGCTCTGACCATTGCTATGCAGCTGTCCAGCCCATCCTGCAGTTGTACATATTCCTCCTGATGTGCCACAGTAACGTCGAACCCTACAGACTCGCACAGGCGTTTCCAGTACTGGCTTGATTGTCCAGGGTTACGGCCTGGAGTTCCGGGTGAGGCCTTGCCTGTCAGTAAGCGCTCAAGATCAGCAACCAATGGTCCGGGATGTACGCCGATGTGAGCGCACATTGTTTTACCTGGCTTAAGACAATCCAGTACACAGTGCATTGTTTCAGCAATGCTCTCATCAGGCACCCAATGCAGAACAAAGTTGCAGAAGATGCCATCGTATGGGCCCAGCTTCACAGCGTCGAAGACAGTACCAACGAAACATTTTATGTTCTTGTGATGAGGTTGTACGTTGCTACTTGCAACCTGGATTCGCCCAACATTTGGGTCAACTGCCACCACCTGCCCTTGTGCTCCGACCTTAAGCGCAAGCTGTGCTGCCAGACGACCAGTACCGCAGCCAAGATCAAGAATTCGATTCCCCTCTTTGGGCCTCAGGTGCTCGGTCATGAGGATCACACCTTGCCGGAATTGAAAGACGGAATTCTCATCGTACAGTTTCGCCTTAGACACTGACATCATCACTGTCTGTATGGGTCCTCAGTGCCACCTCCGAGCTGATCACTAGCAGTCGTAATGCTACAGTGCAGCTCTGACACGCCACGTCTTTGTTGTTCCCCGAATAGTCTCGGTCTTAGGGCTCTGTCAGTCCTCTCAACAAGCAGGGAAGCGTTCTGGTTGTTCACCAGAAAGCTGACATAATTTAGCCAAGGAACTCTAAGCATTATACGCCATAGCGCGATGATTTCTGATCTAGCTCGCTAGTTTTCGTTCGAGAAGGTTAAGTCGTGCTTTACAAGCTCGATGGGAAGATAAAAGTGGGTGTTGATCAAAACAGTCTGGTTGTTAACATCAGCCAATCACAGCCCTTCGCGAAACATTTTATCAGCTCGATGCGAGTGCACAACCGTGGTAGGATGTCAAAAACGTGAGCAAACCCGCTTTGTGATCTCGATCTCAGCCTGGGCCCGCGTAACCCTGATTCAATCTCAAACTACTAGTAGTACCTGCTTCACTGGGCACCCTACTCCGTTTCTACCTTAGACTAATCTCGCCACACAGTACCTCGCACAGTACCTTGCACGTGAACCGTGAATGCTTTCAAATGGTAACTGTTCTACTTATGGCTTAGTATTAGTAAACACCAACAGTTATTCTTGAAGCCTGAAGCCTAGCGCCTGTGTACGTGAAGGAGGTCTTCGTGCCTCACTGACACTGACACGCCACACTTTTGACAATGATGTGGCCCTTCTACTTTAGTCTTTACTGACTTTATAGTCAGACCAACGGTTACGTAGCCAGGTCTACTGTTCTTGAATTAATCGGCAGCCCCATACTTGAATGCGTCGTAAAGGACGCATTCGACGCATACGAAACCTGCCACGATCGATCTGACAGGAGGCATCAGCCCACAGGGATATCCCGTGGCCCTCACACACCATACAATGATTATGTATGTAGGCACGATACTCTCTGATCTACGCGTACGCGCGTGTCCTATTTTGATTTCATTGAGAACTGCGCGATTGAAAACTTACGGAAATACAGGCGCGCTGACAATGCCGTCTGCCTCCGTCAACACTTCGTCAGGTGCACTTTATTTTCCTCTTCCGCAGTGAGTTCCTTTCGTCCTCGGATGACTTCTCCGACGAGGACCTAGCAGTCCTTCGCTGTGAGACCGACGAATTACTTACTTAGCTTTGTTACTCTTGCCAATACATGTTCAATGTAGGTTATGAACAGGGGCTCTCATAGGCCCGGAATAGTTCCCCACAGGCACAGGTGCAAGTAACAATATATTTATTAGTTCTGAGACTTGGAATGTAGCTTTTTTTTAAATTTCGGCCACTCGGTTACTATCATTTCCTCTTGATGGTTAGACAAGGGGAAATAGCCATGCAGGGGCGTGAGCCCGCCTTTCGGCACCGAGTAGCTTGTGCTCGGATCGATGGCGCTTGCCTTCCCCTCTTTGGAATTAGCACTGATATCCATGAACCTTCCAAGTAATAGTTGGAAGGCCGCTGGTTAGTGCTATCGAGCAGTGCTCAAGCTGACGTTCTTTCCTTGGAATGTCTCCGTACTCCTTGTCAGTTTCGTGCTAGACTGTGCACGTCAGACAGTTCAAAATCTGATTTGGTTGGTGGAATCGATCGCATAACTTGTGGCCACAGTTTTCCCGGTTACAATCATTATTCTTTCCTTGGCTCACCATCTGAGTTCTTATAATTATACCTGTTCTTTTGGTCTTTTTGGTGAAGGATTATATAACTTTATAAGCATAATTGGCTGTTTTCTCGAGCATCCTGTGAGCATCCGCTAGAGCATAAACTGGCTATTTTCCAAGCATAATCCGCTTACCCCTAAGTATGACTACTACACTATTCACTTCGTCTTGGGTTAGACATGGAGAAGTTACCATACAGTGGTGGTGCGCCCGCCTTTCGGCACCGGGAATACAGCTCAGTTGAATCTGACTCTCTACCATGTGAAAAGGACCCACGCCTTCATCTGGTGAGCTGCATCATGGGGTTTGCTGTGCGACCTTCATTGAGTTTAGCGCGGTCGAGAATTTATGCGCGATCGAAAACTTACGGGAGTACACGCGCGCCGGCGGTGACATCCGTCAATGATCTGTGTCTTCTTTAGTCTGACTAATGTTCCCCAAATACCATGATACGCCCGACTGGTCTTGTGATGCTGTGCAACCAGGTCCTGAATGACTCCTGATGCCGCCTTCTCCAACTACATGCTTCACTGGGTATCCTGCCGATGACTACAAGAATTCCACCCATAATCAGTATCATCCAATGCTTGATGACTGAAGAATGGAACCAATCATGAGTGCCAATGAAAGATCAGAGCATTTCAAAAATCGGTTCGACGAGAGATGCTCGGAGGTTATGTGCAGATATTCTAGGACAGAGCCTAATTTTGAAGAATAACTTGAGTGCTATTTGCCCTCAGAAGCGGTTCGGGGGGGGGGCAAATATTCGCGACCAAGTCTACTCCGGATGGGTTGTGCCGCGTGACTTGAGCCAGGACACGCCAATAATTCGTGACATACCTACATGTATATGTACATGTATGAGCGACACACACTTTAAACAGACGTTATGCGATCCGATCATCAGTTGAGATAAGATGCTCTGGCAAAGCTGTAGCACGGCGATGCACTAGCTGAAGCGAAACAGCCGGGTCACGCTGTATTAAAAAGTAAAGTAAATTATCGTGTCCGTTCCCGAAGGGAACTCACGACGGCCGCTAACACCCGATAAACCCTAGCGGCAGATGCAGCGCTTAACGGTGGGGGTGAGTGGATAAGTCTCACAACCACTGGCACAAGTGCCGACAACGACCCCATTAGCTGCATCCATGTACCCCTTGTGCCTGGCCACAAGTTCCCAGTTGACTGTGGGTAGCAGCACGGCTGGAAAAACCGCTCCCAGGCAGGACTTGAACCAGGTACCTCTCGTATCTCAATCATGGTCTTTGACCAACCCACTGTGCCTGCCTGGTCACGCTGTATACGTATACCTAGTGTACATGACGCTCCCACAAGCAAACCCGCCGATGCGCGCGGTATTCTAAGCCCCATGCAGAACCTAGGTAGGTAGGTAGGTAGGTACATTTTTATTTGAATTCGCAGAACCAAACGGGCGGTGTCACCCAATTACATGGAAGCGAATGGAAACAGTAAAATATTGTAGGAAACAGCCTAACATGATAGCAGGGTGTAGTACAAAGCAAAGAACGCTCAGTCAATGAATAACGTTAACGTTAGAATACAACAACGGGGAGGCGGTAAACAGCACATGACTGGTACTGTGCAAACGTTCAAAGATTCCTGTAGTGTTCAGTAGTGGGTGCTACTGCTAGCAAGACAGAACGGGAGGCAGGCTTGTTTGAACTGGTGGTACTGGGTAATACCACGCACGTCGGATGGCAGGGTGTTCCATAAAATGGACCCGCGAGCGGTTGGACGGTCGTGGCCGGCTTTGGAAGCAGATTTGGGCACTCGGAGGCCCAAGCTGCGTTGTGCGCGCGTTGTTCGAGTACTGGGATGCTCCAGAAGGGCTTGCAGTGCATTGCTTGCCCGACCATTCGAGCAACGCCAGATCATAATAAGGGTCTTTTGCTTGTGGAGCTCTTCGATGCCATACAGCTGCAGACGAGCAAGCAGAGGTTGGGCGCTTGTGCGAGGTGGCAGGCCGAATACGGCGCGTGCCGCACGGTTTTGCTGGACCTGAAGGCGGGACCGCTGGTCTTGTCGGAGGCACCCAGAGAACGCCACGGACCCGTAGAGCAAATCTGGCATCACAACGGATTTCACGTACTGCTCTCTGGACTTTCTTGTAAGGCAACGGCGGGCTCGCCAGAGTGCTCCCACCTTCTGCGAGGCCTTCTTCACAACATTGTTAACGTGTTCGTCAAATCGAACGTGCTCGTCTATCGTGATGCCCAGGTACTTCGCATGGGGAACTGCTGGTAGCGGGTTTCCACGGCATTTGACAGTAATGTCTTGGCCGGAAATTCGCAGGACATGGCTTTTGCTAGTGTTCAGGATTAGATTCCTAATCCGCTAGATCAGTCCACAGTTCATAGTGTGGTATATCCAGCACGTGTACATGTCTACCCTCATTAGCAGACAACCCATGGGCGGAAGGTAAAACATTGTTTTACAACGAGTGTATCTACTACTTGTATGCTAGTATCCGCACTTGTGCGTTTCAGGTGTCAGGATCGTGGTGTACTAATGAGGATGTCGTACTGACCAGCCTCTAGGGTAGTAGACCTCTATCTACTTCTCCTGCCTCCGTCACGTTTCTCATGGCAATGTTCTGCACGGCGTCAAGGAGGATCCACAGCACCTTTCACAAACTCGCTCTGGTTTGACAATCCGCAAAGTCGCAGATCGCGTGACAATCTTGAAAACTGCACGCACGTGTACCATCATGGTTAGGGCTGGCCAGGGCGTTTTAGAAATCAGAGATCTGCTTATTACTTGTAGTGATTTTGGTTCTCCTTTGCGTGCTTGCTGAGTGGACGGTCAGAGCTCTGGGGCATTGCCTTCATTTCACCGTTTTTGCTGGACAGTGAGCTAGAAAGACGTGCCGTGTCACAGCTGAACAGATTATTCTCGCTTCACAACTACTGCTGCTGAGTTCGGAGGAGGCACTGAAGACCCGTGCAGTGACTAAGTCAGTGTCTAAGGCGAAACTGTACGATGAGAATTCCGCCTTTCAAACCCGGCAAGGTGCGATCCTCATTGATGAATACCTGAGGCCCAAAGAGGGGAATAGAATTCTTGATCTTGGCTGCGGTACTGGCGCTCTGGCAGCACACATTGGGCTAAAGGTCGGAGCGCAAGGGAAGGTGGTGGCAGTTGACCCAAATGTTGGGCGAATCCAGATCGCAAGTAGCAACGTACAACCTCATCACAAGAACATCAAGTTTATCGCCGGTACTGTCTCTGACGCTGTGCAGCTGGGCCCATACGATGGCATCTTCTGCAACTTTGT